CGTTGAGTCTTCATGCAGCTGGACCTCACTACCGCATCTTCAAACTTTCGAGGCTGCTGTGCGGGGCGCGATTGATCACTAAGATCGAGATCACCACTTCTAAACCGCTTGTACCCATAGGCACACGTTTCATAAGACACAATCAAGAACACTGCAAATTGATTCCCGCGCTGAGGGAAGCCTTTGTTCCTGTTGGAATTCCTGTGACATGCAGTGTCTTCGAATGTGCTATTTATCTGAAAGGTAACGCAATTCACATAGACTTGTCATTCGGTGTTCTAAAACCCTGCGTTCGATGCTTTCAAAATCACAAGAGACAGTAAAAATATCTCTATTTTAAGCATAATTTTGAGCTCACAGAAAAAAATCCATGAAAATTCAGCCATGTACCAAATATTTCCAGTCATGCATGCCATGACCTTGATGTGGGGTCACCAATTGTTGTGAGCCCCAGCATGCTGTCCTAAACCACGCCGGAGCCACTGAATTAACTCGGGCCTGATCACGCTTGTCTGATACTCACGATGAGGAAGAAGACCGGAGAGGACGTGGACACAACCGTTTACTTCAGAGGTCAACCACGTTGGTGTCGTTGTGTCGTGTGTGGGGTTTGCGCGTGTGCATTTATACATCAGATGCATGAGTCATAGATGCGCTAACATCGAGACCCAGGTGTGAGTATAATCCAAGATAAATATTCGTGTGAGTGAGGGGGGAGTTGAGGATCCGCACGGCTGGTGACATGCTGCGAAAAGGGGGACCCTGTGTCGGAGGCTGAAGTGACCGGATTAACGAGTGTGAATCAACGCGACTCACAATAACCTAATTAAAAAACTACATGATTACTTGTAGATTATGTTTGAGGAAACTAGAATGTTTATGGTCATTAAAAGGCAAAGCGGAAATGTTTGTCTAATCTGAAAAAAGCCGTATCGATTTTGACAGTAGGAAATACCAGGTTGAAGACGCGTACCCTATTATAGACCAATGAGGCCGTGATTTAGATGAATTCACAGTGTACTATGAATAATAATCATCTAAATTTATTCTTCTGAAAAAAGCGAGGGCTCTGGGCTCATATTTACAAGGTGCAGTTGTTGTCCTAACACCAAGTTGCATTCCCACTCAGGGTCATGAGAATTAACACACAGCAGGGTTCCCATCGTAAGGGCTCAATTTGTCGTCACTAATGACAATGCGATGCTGGAAACCCGATTTGTGTTCACGAGCGCCTCTGAGCAGCCCAATCAAACTGGTCGCAATTGCGAGGCCCCAATGTTTGTGGGACCCGCGTTCTCCCATCCACCGAACCTTTCTCAGCAGCTCCAAGTGCGGAGGCTGGAGCGTTAGAGGCATGCGCATCGGGAATCCAAATTCGTGTCAATTTGGAACTTCATTATTGCGGTTAGAAACAGGGTAAAAGGTAGCTTCTAGGCAAACTAATTGAGACTTTAGTGCAGAATAATGAGTTTTTAATCCAAACACATAAAACCCTTCGCCTAATACAAACAAAATTAAGCGGAAGGTGGAGCTGAAAGTCTGTTACCGCACTTGAGCCTCGACCTCATGGTGTTTGAGCTGTCAGTCTGTTTTTTTTCTTTTAAATTTTACAGGGCCGATTAAAACCGATGAAGCTGATCGTGAATCCACATGCGAGGTGGTTTCGAGCACCGTGTGAGCGGGTCGTAAACAGTTACATAACCTGCACTCAAATATTCTGCAACATCACGCAACTGTAAGAAGTTGGTTCAGATTCACTTACAATAGACACTGCACAGTTAACGCGTTGCATCCCCGTTTGTTTATATAAGGAAAAGTATGCTGATTGGTTGGAACCTCTCCCAACTGACTATAAAGTAAGGTAGTGGACGATTCCGACGAATCTATCACATTCCTAAAGTGTACCAGGCCATCTTGCCATGTTGTGAAAATGTGAAAGCGTTTTTTGTTTTGGGTTGTTGGTGGTAGTGGTTGGGGGTGCTTGTAGTTTGACATGGGAAGACTAGATCCCAATTCCACCTAAACGATTCACGTACATCTTCCTTCTTCACCTGTTCATACCTCGCATTTTCATTTTGCATTCCTCTACTTCTTTTTCCTTGTCTGGAGCTGCATTAGTGGCAACTGTCAGATGGCCTCTCCGCACGGTACGCATGATTGTCTCACAAATGAAAATCAAAAAGTACTTATTGCAATGTGCATCACCCTAAACGACTTACATCTCTGCAAAAATTTCTCCATCTGCCTCGCCAAAAATCACTTTAAATAATCATAACTTCATTTGAACTGAACCAGTACAATTTCACAGTTGGACAGTTGTGGCAAATTACTGACAGTTTTCAAATTGTGAGGGCTGCTTCACTGCCCACCTGATGCTTAAGGGATATGAATCGCGTCCACGAAGAGGAATCCCACGCTAGTAAAACCACGCTTTGCGGAAAACAGCCCCACCCATTGCCTCTTCGTCGCGTCCATTAAGCCACGGGAGCATTTGACTCAGGAATGGCTTTATAGGGCACTAAAACGGCACAGTCTTCTTTACTTAATAGGGCATAATTAAGTATATCGATTCACCGTTCGTCCAACCGTCCTCACAAAATCCAGCTTACATTTTCACTGGGAGTTTAAAAACGGTTTCGAATTCCACTTTAATTCAAGTAGAACAATTAAAACTTATTATACGGGCTCTGTGTGAGGAGATGAATCAGTTTTGGTGAATGGCGCCACCTTACAGCAGGACCACCTACTCGGCTCTTGCCATTCTTGCGTGTTGGAAATATGAAAACGGACAATAATGCAATAAAATGTCTTGGGTTGGGGGTCCTTGTGAATGACGAATCAGTCTATTTGGACCAGTGTGCTCAAAACTTGTGTCGGTACGGGCGACGCGACCTCATTGATGTCAGAACGGCCTTTTACTCCCACTTGGGACGCATTCCACATCCTCCAAGACCTACAAACCTGGTTCCATCAGATTTTCACACTAACAGGTTGTGTGAAATTTTTTCGATTTTTGAGTCACTAAGTGGGGATTTTACTGGAGAGGTATTGAAAAGTCAGCATTGAATAACTTACACCTTATCAGTTAAGCTAAATTAATGAGCTTAATCAAACCCCGATGACTTAAAGCTTGTCTCAGATGTTTACGAACAGGAGGTACTGTTGAGCATTGCAAGGCCAGACTTGATTATAATTAGCTGGTTATGCCTAATGAGGCTTAGAGACTATCTCACGGCAGGCAGGCTGGCACGCATGACGCGCTTGCTCGCGTGTTCAAACACGACGAGATGAAAAAAATGGGAGACGAGGAGGGACTGAGTGGGGGAAGGGGCCATCAGGTGCTTGATACGACGGCAACGAACAAATGAAAGCGAGGCCGTCCACCCCTGGGGTGAGGGGATGAGGTGGGTGTGGGCCTTTTTATAACCCCGGCAATTTTCCACCTGCCCGTTGGATCCATTTTGTTAATATCGAAGAAAATCACTTTGAAACTATTGCTTGATTGGCAAGAATTCACTAGATTGTCTCTTTTCAGTGTCAGCAAATTCCATTTCAGCGGTTACGCGTTCACGTGCTCGCCATTTAACACAGTAGACATTTGTGGCATTTAAAGTTAGATCGTCGAATCTGTTTACGATGTCGAACACGGCTGTGCTTGTAGAGGTTTATCTGAAGTTGGCGTTGTAGTGTACACACTTTCTGACGTCGTCTGTTGCAAGTGCTACCCGTCGACAGTTTTGCTCAATTGTGTAAATAAAAAGGCGCACACACAACCTCAACCTGGTATTTGACACACCGCTCAAATGTGATTTCGTGTCTTTATGCTGCACACGTCAATAAGGATGGGAGCGGTATCAAGGTCGCGTTGGGGTTGCGTCATTTCAATTTGAAAACACATCACCTGCTTCCAGGGTATCTGATCCACACACCTCTTAACTTCGGAATGAGGAATTTGTTGCAGCAATGGGGTTGGAGGATCTTGAGAAGGTGTGTCATCAATTTTTTTTTCATCGTAAAACTCGGATGGGTTGTCTTACTGGTAGAAAACTGACTCAATTCACCCATAGACTTGATTGAGCAAGTTTTCTGTAGCAACTTCCCTCGTGGACGAACCTCAGAATGTCGCCACTGACGAAAGGCAAGAACGGGATAATGGAGAATTGCGATCGGTGGCTTTGGTTTCACTAAACCCGTCATCAACCTGCCTATCCATGTAGGAACGAGAGAAATAATTCGGGGTTGTATCAGGAATTTAATTTATATAAGGGTAAAGGATTGAGACAATGCTCTTCAGTAACAACATACGGCTTTGTAAAATTTTTTAACATGTGAGAAGATGCTAATTATTGCGTGCAGCAAATCAGGTCATGTGACGGTATGCTTTGCGTGTTACGCGAGGCTGACTATTCCAACTTCCAGGGTGGTGACATAGACCCGATTTTGGTCAATTGCAAGGCTGTACCTTTGCTGATTGCTCGATTACTTGAAGTGACTTGAGCAGAGTCGAGATTTTGCAGCCAATGCACAATCCCGTGATCGACTTGTTCGAGTGTACGCAATCAGAAGCACGAAAGGCGAAGAACGAGATGCTGATTTGCCCTCTAGGTTAGAAGGGGGTCGTAGGGTACTAATCGTGCGTACAATCGCTGATTCCGGATCCACAAATATGAAAACATGCCAGAGTATTAATTTGCTTATTCTTCCACAAAAAGTCATGTGCACAATTTTCCCATAGGCGCGAGCGCACATTGACTAACCAATAGGCTTGCTGGTGTACATGCACGCACTAAGAATCGACCCAAAAGCACACACGCACACACGCGTAAAGGCAGCCGGCTGAAAGGGAAGTTTGGTCGGGGCATCGCAGCATCACAGTAGTTGTGATAGTAGCAGTAACAGCTTCAGGTCATACACACCCGCGCGCCCGATTTTCGTCCCGTTTCGTGGCCTCTCGCACCTTCCTGCCGCTCGCGCCCACAACCTTCACTTGAACGGCCCGAGATCGATTTCGAAGTGGTTTTCGTGAGACAACGCGGAGACTTACTCAACCAAATGATGGCCACTGTTCAAATTAGCGAACCAGAGCCCTCACACGTGTCCATGACGCACACGATCTACCGAGCTTCGTCTCCCTCAGAATCCAGGCTCGAGGTGAGTTGGCCAAGTCCCTTTCCACACAGACTACCTTTTGCGTGTCTGTAATTTGCATTTTAATCGGATTTGTAGTGCAATTCGGATGCATTTAAATTGAATTACAAGAAAGATGACTCATTCCCGTGATATAATCACCCTTCTCCGGTTGTAATAAATGCGCATTTGTGGGTGGAAATTATGAGCCGAGTCAGGCTTCTTCTGCAACTGGGATGATTACGCTTGATTGGTTAATTGTTAACTACAAAGGAATTCCGTTACACTCATCTCTGTAGTTGCTGACTACACGTCATCCATGCACCTTGGTTCTTTTGTTAATTACAATATTTGTCTAATCTCGTTAAGACGAAGATTTCTCTCGTAGACGTGGTGTTGCTAGCACATTGAACACCTTGATGCTTTCAAATCTGTCAATTTTCTTCTGTTGTGACTCAGCTGTGTGAAGTTTATTTCAAGTCGTGGTATTGCAATTATTTGTCATCGAATGTGTTGTATAGAAGATTGGTAGCTTCCACTGGGGATTTTGTGCGTCAGTTAATACTACGTATTCACAAAATGGGCCATAAATAGCGTACAACTGAGAAAGTCTATGAATCTAATTTATGATTACGTACAGGCCGACAATAAAGCAATCAAAATTAAAACTAATTTGCCTGAAATAGGCCTGTTTTGTGGAGACAGAAGTGAATATGAGGAGAATGCTTGACCATTGTGTGGAAACCACTTGGCACCAACAACATGAATCGTTGATTTAAGTTCCGAATCTCCCCAAGTCCCTACTTCGAAAAAAAACAATGTGCATGAGAAAAGTCTATTCATGTCTTTAGGTAAAATGTCGATCGAATAATGTTCCTTCCTTGTTTTCCTTGGCTGTTTGTCATGCATTTTCTTAGGAAAGAGGATACCATTACATACAAAACGTTTCATAATCTGGCGTGATGCCATGCCTGACAAGCACTATTCGCGATGTGATTGGCTGTTCAGCGTTTTCAGGGACCACGGAGATTCCGAGAATAATTTTAAATCTCTCCTAGCAGATTTGTAAAGGGAGGTATTGCAACTGACCTTCTAATGATGGCAAAATTACTTTTATTTCAAGACGTTAAACTTTAAAATCTCAAAAAATTTTACCAACACGGGGGAACTTGGCTCGATAGGAGAAATTTGCATGGACGTGACCTTGCTTGGCCCATGAACATAATCCCATTTAATTGTCAAATCATCGCATTTTTAAAGGTTACAGCAAATATTTCCGAAGCAAATTTATCTCAACGGATATGCATCATATATATATCACCCACACCACTGGATTTCTGCTTTTGCTGCTCCTTTTAACAAACCTTTGCTTAATCCACTTGGAGACCAGTTAAAATCGCTCTGCGTTCTGTTAATTGCGGCATTTTATGCACAAACTTGGGCTCACTCAGTGATTATGCATTGTCAACTGCTGTTTTGGCAACGTGAATTGCAGCGAAACCTGTTCATTTTAGGCGCGAGTTGCTGAACTCGAGGAGAGACTCCAGGATGAACGAATCGTCCTCACAAAGGTACGCACTCGCCTTCCTAAGCACCTCACGTCTTGTCTAACCGATAAACACACTTTGATGTTGGTGCGGCCGACACGCAATCATTAAACCAATCAAATTGCAATCTTGCGCAGCCGAAATGGAATCTGGGAAGCTAAGGGAGTTTCTGCATTTAAACAAGTACAAGTTACCGATTTCACAAGTTCCCTCGCAGTTAGATTGTGGGTTTCCACGCTGAAATGACGGTTGTGCCTCTCATGTTCCTAGTGCCTCCAAAACCTCTAGATTTGAAGGCATTAACAAATCTAGTAGGCTTGCAGTCATCTTGATTCCAGGACATCGGCTAATCGAAAAACGTTCACCTTTCATCCCACAACAACGGGTCACATTAGTTTGGTTGATTATCTCTATACAGATGTTTTTTTTTGTAAAAATAAACTTACTGTTCCACAGAGTCAGCGAGATAACTGCGACTTGGCGCTGGAAATCGAAATGCTACAGGAACGCCTGGAGGAAGCAAACGAGACAATTTCTCAACAAGTAAGTCAGGACTCTTTTGCGGTTGCACCATGTGCGAAAAGGGTGCGACGAAAACATGGGCTTGTGCTTCCACAACCCTGGTCAACTCAACTATCCTCCCATTACTAAGACCAGCAATTTTCCCAACTCTGATGAGTCCTATTTAAGAGCGGATAAAAAACACTGGAAACTGGTTTGTTGGTGAGGTGTCCTGTACTGAAAAACACGTGCCTCGTTTAAAACGCTTACTGATCCGAACTCCCAGACGCGAGGTCTACAATTATTGCCCCAAAAAGTAGTAGGTGACATTTGTTGTAGGGATGCTTTGTAAGTTCGTCCCCCTGGGAATTTCAATTAACGAGATTGTATCTGGCTTCACGTCTCACGGCACTGTAAACGCATTACAATGACTGCAAAACTCAATTGGGCATTAGGTTCTGGTGGGAAATGTCGGCTTCATGTTGTGCATTTAAAAAGGCTATTGTGGGAAAGGTGAAGGTTGCCAGAGTCCGACAACACTGAAGGCTTATCCTCAAACCAGGCCAGCATTTTAGTTGAATACCCCCTACTAGAACAAAGAACTGGTAAGATGGAAATAGTTCTGCTCAAATGGCAAAGAAGACAGTCGGTTCACTTGACCATGAGTACAAAAGCACTTAGTGCACCTTCAAGTCGCTCACGCTTCTGAAATTCCGGAATTATTAGATGGAAACAATTCGACGCAAGGAGATGGAACTCTCTGTGATTCAGAAGGAGCGCGATCTGCTGAAACACACGCACGAAGAAGACGCAGCATCACTGCGCAAACGCTACCAGACGTCCATCGACGAGCAGAATCACGAGCTTGACGACTTTCGACGCATTAAATCAAAGCAAGTCCTTTTACCATGCCTCCTATCAAGGTCAAGGATAATCACAGTAGATTATTAGGAAGATGTAGTTTGACCTCAGTCGCTTGACCTCGATTACGAGTTTTCCCTGAACCTTCGAAGTGGGTTTATGGTCGGTCATTGGTTAGGAAGATTTATTACCTAGATTCTTAAATGTGGCACACAAAAGTTCACCTGACAACCTTCCACAAACGATGACCTAATATTTCAAGTGGCTCATGCAAGTTGTTATTGAAAGAGACAATCAGACGGTATTTTAAACACAATTTGGGTCCTTGCCAGCTGCGCCCTGTAATTATCAGTGATGGTACGAATTTTGGACCCCTTTTGGTGATGGTCCACAATAGAAAACTGATGGCGTCGCGCATGTCAAATAAGTTAAGTTACAAGATACCGCGATCGACACAAAAAATTCGCTGTTGTCAAATGAACTTGCATTTGTTGAAGATCCACTTACTTTTTGACTCTTCTTTATTGCAGATTAGAAAAGGAGAAAAGTGAGCTTATGAACCAAGTGGAAAGATTAGCCAGTGATCTCTCGAAGCAGGAATTCCTGAATGTACGTTTGTTATACTCTAAATTTCTCAGGAGAGTAACACAGGTAGTTCAGCAAATGCTGCATCCATCCACAACGACCCGTGTTCAGTTTTGTTTCAATGAGGCCATTCAAATCGAAAATATGAAACAGGATATCAAAACACATTGCTTTCTCAGTTCAAACACAGCACGATTGTACAGTTCGTGCCTTAATCAGATGGGCACTTTCGATTTCAATTCTCGAAACTTCGGAGCGATCCGAAAGTCTCCATTAATGTGACTTACCCTATAACGGTTGAGCTCTGCAACCAGTAAGATCACGAATGTGATGTCTTATCGAGTTTTGCAACCGAAATCCCTTATCAACTGGAATAACTATCCTTTCCATCCTTGTAAAGCGAACAGGATCCTTACTGTCGTGGTGTTCCAACTCGACAAAGAAAAGCCGCGTGCTACAAAAAAATCTACCAAGGAACTAAGTTATTAGTTGATGAGATGCTCTGGTTCACCTACCATGACCTCAGACCAAAAGTAATCCAATTGTGCATTTTTTTAAGAATATAGGGTTTAACTATGTGGATGATATTGGGAGGCATGTCGCCAGATTTTCCTAAGTAAATATTTAATCTAATATTACAAAATATGGAATTTTCTGACACCTCAGAGCTATTAACAATGTCTGTCATCTAATATGAGGACAGAAGTTCATTTGGACAACTCTTTGGCGCATGTTCTGCAAATCAATTCAACAAAATCGCCCGTCTATGCTCCTACGGAGTCATTGGGGTTTTTGCAGCAAATAAATGCATTAAATTATCGATCAGTCGGTCAGTCGAGGTTGTCATGAACTGCTAATGTGGGGTGAATGAAATCTTGTAAGTCAAGATCCAGGCTCAAAAATAGAGTGGTAGTGGATGAAATTGAGTCACCGCATCTAAGGGTTTGGTTGACCTTCCAGCGCCTCAAACAGAACAGCTGCACTGACCCTAGGATCCCACAAATAAACGAAGGAGATGCTTGACGCATTCTTTCACCAGGCTTCATAATAGGTATGCGGCGACGGCCGTAAATCAACACGATTCAACCGAACCACACAGTACCCCCAGGTCGTTGGTAACATTACATGGCCTCCCCATTAAAGCGCAAGTGCTCTCGCAGAGTTCAGATAATTACTTATGACTCATCCAATACTATGGTTCCACTGGTCACACCCTCGACTTGATTATCAAAACAGATCCGATCGTTGAGGACATGTTTATCCACTGATGAATTTGTTGTGGGCCCCAGCATGTGGTCTTGAACCACTCCGGGGCCACTGAATTAGTCCTGGCCCGATTACGCGCCCCTGATATCCGCGATGAAGAAAAAGACCGGAGAGGACGTGGACACATCCGTTTACTACAGAGCTCAACCAATTTGGCGCCTTTGTGTGGTGTGTGGGATTTGTGAGTGTGTATTTATACCTCAGATGCGTGGGTCACACATGCGCTAACATCGAGACCTAGGTGTGAGGATAATCCAAGATAAATATCCGTGAGAATGAGAGGGGAGTTGAGGATTCGCGTAGCTGGCGACATGCTGAGAAAAGGGGAACTCTGTGTCGGAGGTGGAACGACCGGATTAAGGAGTGTGTATAAACACGATTCACAACAAATCCTTTCTGTATGAAAATTCGAGAGATCTGGTAGTATTCGAGAATAGTGGTGAATCCTAAATTAACTTGCATATTACACCTCGTCTGGTGCAGACACATGCTTAACAATTCCCAAATTCCAGGCTCTGGTTCGAAACATTCACAAGATTATGAAAACTAACAGTCAAAATTGTTTCGAAATAGTATAGCAAAACCCCCAGTGATTGGTTGTGCGTGCGACCTTCTTGTGAGGTTGACGAGAGACGGTTGTCGATCAACTAAACATTTTGGTGCTACAATTCAACGGTTTCGACAGATACCACTGCCTGTAAACTTTACCAACTGGCTGAAATTCATTACACACTTTTTTGAGAATGTCAACAAGTGGAACATCGTCGTTACTAATCTTGTTACCTGCATTGTCGCATGACTTATTTGCAATTTCAGGAGTCTCTGGAAAACAAGATCGAGTCTTTGGAAACTCAAAACACTCGCCTGAAGGCGGGAAACGAGGAATTGCTGAAACAACTAGCAGAAGCCAACGCAAAGTACTCCAGTCTTTCGGCGGATGAGTCAGAGCGGCAGAAACACCTCGACAAACTGACAACCTCCCTCAACATCGTTCAACGCCAGGCAACCAATTCGGAGAAGGAAATCGACGAATTGAAACGACAGATTGAAGAGGAGGCAACAGTGAGTGTGGTTTAGCAAATGTTTTGCTTCGAATGGTACCCAATCTTTTGAAGAACTTTACATGGGATCTCAAAGTTGGGTTCACAACATTCGTGGTTGCACAATATTTAGGAGAATCCCATCTTCCATAAAGTCACATTCGATGACACACCTTTCGAACCACACTAAATCGACTTATCCGGCCAGCCCTATTTGGGTGGTGATCGCAACCACTGAGACAATCCACTTAACCATCTGTGATCACCCACGTCGGTTCGTTAGGTTCCACATTTAGAACAGGTAAGCACGTAGCCCTACGCAATGTTACAAAAGTGATTATCCGTGGCTAAATTTTTTGCCCAAGGGTAAGTGCACACGCCGATGGGTTATTCAATATTTCATGCATGCCGCGGGTATTTATGTGCTTCCAAACGTGGGCAGTACATGGCGCAGATATTCCGATTAATTATTCAGACACGTGTCTTGTGCGTCGGGGGGTTGGATTTTCTCAGATATTTTGCAGTGCTTTTGAGTGAACAGCGAAGACTGCTTGTGATAACTGACCGTGACGACGCCGATCTGGTGGAATTAGCGTAAGTTTCTGTACTCACGTTCCACCGAAGTAAATTCGACGCGATGTGGAAAGGATTCTTGCTTGCTGAAAGATGTTTGTGGCCGACGAGGTTTTGAGGAGACTTAGGGGCTCGCGTAATGATTTTCCGAGAATTCGACAGTACTCATCCAAATAGCTTGAGAGGACAACTCAGTAGTTGCTAAATTACCCTATTCTACACCACTACGAACTAACCCCTAGCAAATCGATGATGGAAGAGATATATGCTCACCTTAAATGCTCTACAAATGCATTCGAGTCCAGACTAAAGGCCTCACTTCTCACACTCTCTACAAACACTACGGATAATCAGGAGCATACTTGATTTGAGCAATTTAAAGCAACGTAAACTGGGCATTCTGGTAACAAGTGTGATGCTTCTGTCTATCTGCGTTAGACAACGTCTCAGTTCTCTTATTTTACTGAGAAACAAAAAGTGTAAGGTGGCAGAAGAGAAGATTTGACCAAAACGCTTCAGAAAAATTTTAATTTCTCCAATTGCTGTTGTTACATTGTTTCATTAGATGCCTTGGTTTATCATGCAGCCCATTAGGCAAAATGATTTAATTTAGGTAACCAAAATCCCTTAATTTTCGAGTGAATAACCCATTACGGCTTACCCCTAACAAGAACTGCATGATCGGATAACCGGTACCTCTGATCCCTTGTCTGACGCTAAACCCCACCTCCCCAGTACAGAACAAATGTCTCAGCCAAAGACCCGCCGATATGTCAGATGTGCACTTTTAAAGAAGTCCAGAGTAACCTTGACCTGATAGATCTTGGTGGCCTGACAAAGGTGGAGCTGTCAGTGGGATGCCGTGGCCGACTAAGTCACTTAAGTGGCGTGGTTAGGATGAGCCGTCTCTTGGGATACTGGCCTCCCCAACACTACTATTCCCAACTGTTACTCTCCACAGTCCAATCAGAAGGAATTACGTGGAATTTGCAATGGGCTGATGAGTTTTAGAGGTCTAGTTGAGGACTTTTATTGGTAGTTTTGAATTTGGTTCTCAAAAGACGGTAAATACGTCGATTTTGAGGAAAGATCTTCCACACTTTCAATAAAGTCGAGAACCGAGCTTCCATGTTGGTAAAGCTTCACGGAGAAAACGCTACTAAAATTGCTTGTTTTAGTCAAACGCCCACCTCCAGTCACGGCAATCAGCACTGCAAGCTCAACTGGAAGCTGCCGAAGCCAGAGCCGAGGAGGAGTCCGAAAATGCCACACAAGCTCAGCAGCAGCTCGCTAAAGTGACCGCCGAATTATCCGCCCTGAGAACCAAGCACGACCGAGAGGTCACTGAACTCCAGAATGAGATCGACGAGGCAAAGTAAGTTCAGAACTTGGCTGACACTTGGGGTTCACGGAAACCAAACCCGTTGAGTCTGCAGCCTCAGCAAGTCCATGTCGATTTCGTGGAACCGTGATCACCACTCCATTGTTCGATGGATGTCTGGTGACACTTGATGCTCTGCCTTAAGACCAGCACAACTCCAACTTCTCAGTTCAGATTAAAACGAGACTTGAAATTGAGGAAAGATCTTTGGCTTCTAGGTTCTGTAACTTAATGAAAACGTCATTAGATTATTTAGGGGTAAGTAAAACCGACTGATGGATTAACTCCCAAAAAGGTAATTTAATTTAAGCAATTACAAATCCTTACCAATCGGACATGCCCCCACCCCTGTCTATTACTTGCCACAATCTGATGGGGACAAACTAAATTAAGTCTTAAATGACCTGAGGGGTTTCGTGAGGCTCAGAGTAAAAAATTTAACGTTTCCATACAGAAGAAGATTAAGTTCGAGTGAATTTGACCAGAGTTAAGGTGGATAATGCACTTAAAAGGAAGCAAGCCAATGAGATGATGGGAAAATTTTCACGAGTGGACACAACACAATGAAGAAAAATCGTTCAAGAGATTTGGTGTCTTCGGGAATTCTGACACCTCCCCATCAGTTAGGTTTTGGTGAAATGTTTACGCAGCTTGACAGACTCATAACAAGGGACTTTTACAATATCGTCTAATTGTTACTACCTCCACGTTTGAGCATTTCATAAACGTTGTCGAAAAGGTGTCTAACGAGACATCCCATGAATCATTGCTTGTATTTTAACTATCTCAACCGCAAATTTACCCACTAGGCTGCAGATGTGTGTTTATTGGGTTGCTGTGAGTAGAACTTAATGACAGGTTAGGAGTTGCACTGACTGCTTCCTGAGCTCGTGGGCAGTTCGTACGATAGTTTGACACAACTACGGGCATTGTGCCTTTTCCCAGGGGCAGTCAAATCCCAGGCAAATAAACACACATTGACGAGGTACATTCGGGTGCGTGCTGAATCACGTACAGCGTGCGTTGGCAACGAAACGTGGATTGTAAAAAATCTTGGTTGGCTTGCCAGGTGGTAAGAACCACTGCAATTGGGAGGGCTGGGCAAAGAGGTGCGAAATAGGTAAAACAAGGAAGCTAGTGTGGAGCTAGTTGGGCTAATGAGCACGTGACGTGCCCGTTTCCCACCGTGAACACGACCAGGCGAGAATGACGGTGTTTTCAAAATATCCCTTTTTGTTCACTCTAGACGTCGTCTAACGGCACGCACGAACGAGCTGACGGAGCAGTACGAGTCGGAGCACTCGCGAGTGCTCAGTCTGGAGCGCACCAAGACTCAGCTTACCGCGCAAATTCACGAAATTCAAATCCAACTCGATTCGGTAAGCCATTGAAACACTACATGGCGACTGCCATCGGACAAGTGACTAATTCTAATTTGTGTGATTGCAGTGCCAAGTAGACAACCTCGACTTGAAGCAGGAGCTCAAATCGGTGAGCACCCAACTCGCCGAGACAGAGAAGATTCTTGAGGAGGCCCAAACGGAGGAGGCGCAACTGCGAGCGAAGCTGGCCTCCCTCCAGAAGGAGCTCTCGAACGCACGCAACTGGAGAGTCGAAAACGAACCCAGGTTGACTGCGCTGGAGAAGGAGAACCGCGTTAACGCCGGTGAGTGCCACATTAACAGCTGGCGAATGTAATCACACCACTCTGAAGTCGAAAATGCTCTCTCGATAGGCACGCTTATGTCTGAAAGACCCGTTAGTCTTTGCAGTCCAGCGCAACTGAGCAACCTACGTGTTTGTAGGAGCTTTAAGTGGTCAAGACTTGGAAACTCCGTTTTGTTTGTTTCCATAGTACAGACGATCTTTTGTTTGTGCTTCCAGAAAAGCTGAAGGATCTCAAGGAGGCTTCTGCTAAATTGGCCAAGGAAAACGATGAAATGGAGAGCATGCAGGTGCGCCTTGAACGCGAAAGGGAATCCCTTCAAATGACAGTCAGAGAACTCGAGGACGCCCTTCATGAGGTTGAGGTGAGTGAGACCATGGTAGCTTTTTCCTTGCACTTTTGATTTGTTAAATTTGATTTGTTACTTGTCCGAGTTGTTGATTTCGACAGCTTTTTGCTAGACAACGGTATAGCTCAACAGTTTGTAGATCACCTCAAAGCTGCATTGTTGAAGCCCACGTTTGCTAAACGGATGCCCAGAAAGGTTGGGAGGATCAGAGGTGATGGAGACTCACACGAGGTCGTGTATCATGACACATGGGGGAGTGTGTGCACAGGAGAGCACGCACAGACGTGTAGCTGTTGGTGTAGAGGCCGAACAACCAAGCTTACTGAGATAATAGATCTAACGATTCACCTCAAGATGACGATTCCAAATCGCGTTCATTCTCCTGTCATAACTTTCCTGCTTGCAGAACTACAGACACAATTCAAACTTTTAGCGAAGCATTTTGCCCCAGTGACAGTAATCAACCTAGACGCCACCTTTTCCTTCCACGAAATAATCTACCTCGAGGTGAAATTCATTTCGTCCTTGACAGCTTCGAGTGACATGGATTAATTGCACTGAAGTTCGTCACTTCGTGGGTGGCTTCTTAACGCTTTGCTACCCACCACGACCTTTTTCACTGACGTCCTTAGACGGCCTTTCATCCACCCTATCTGGGAGTGTGACCTTGAAAACGAAGGTTTAAATTTGTGCAGCCAAACCACGGACTCCTCTCCTTGATTTCCACTGTCTCCTGTTAACCAACCATCATTTCCGAACGCAAATTTCCTAGGTCGTGAATAAAGCACGTAGGGACTAAGTTACCAGAATGAAAGTCCTTTTTTCCTAAACCCAATTTGCATCAAATTTTATTAGAGAAAAACGAGAAAAAAAGACGAAAACAGTGCTCCCTCAAGCATGTCGGTTGCGAGAGAGAGGAGAGAGTGAAACCGCATCCATCACGCTATGCGCAAGAGAGGTTGACTCTCTCTCTAGCCCCGTACAGGGCAGTGCTTTTTCACGGAGTCAGACTACCTGTTAAACAAAAAAAAATCAAAAACGCGTTTAGTTTAGCAGAAATTTGGTGAATAGGTGGACACAGTCTTGCCTCCAAACACCATTTACGTGTTCGTGTGTACAGGGCTGGAGAGTCATTAGGGTCCATTAAAGAGTGCAATCGGTGCGTAAACATGAGGGAATTCGTGCCGGCCTGAATGCAACGCGAGTTAAGAGGAATCATCACCGCCAAGCCCCTAATGCAGCGGCAATAAAAGACGTTTGGCCAAATGAGGTTCCCCTGATCACGTTTCATTGCTTCCAGAAACCACGCAAGTTTAAGTAGATTTATACCTCTAGTCTGGCCAAAAACCTCCTTTCACACAAGACGAATTTCATTGGGAAGCATTTGGCATCCCAAAGTGTCTTAGCAAAAGCTGGTCCAGACAAAAGGAACTAGGTAGCACCGCGTTTATTAGCCCCAGGTAGGAAATTATCATTGTGATGGGATGCAGGCGTCCTCCCTTTGAGTGTCATACACCCGCTGCAAAAGTAGCCAAAACAGCCGTCCGGATTTTCACAGGAGAGCCCGTCTCATCGTCCAAGCTGAAATCTACACCCAGACAAGTGGCTTGTTGAATCATCCCTTGGTCTCCTTCATGGGCAATCTGTGTTCCCCAAGCAACGCTTCCCGATGTTTAAAATGGAACTACTGGCAAATGCTGAATACCAAACCACGTACATGGACAGGGCACCTGACAAGAAGAATAGGCCCAATCAGATGAGGCAAAACTGCACAAACTGTGAGAAAATCAGCACTAAATTGCCTCCAACTAAGGAAGTAGGCAGGCCACTATTTGCCTTCGCATTTTTAAGGTGTCCCGTCTATTTTCCTCTTATCAAAAAAACCTGGACAAGCTACCACATTGTGTTTTTCTCGTCAAGTCAAAAATATCAGTTTGGTGGGCTCCGTGAGAATTGCATTGAAACCGGGAATGATTAATTACCCTTGCGCGAAGCACGTCTTCCTTACTTTAACTGCTTGCAGTTGATAAAACAAGTAAGTGATGGGGAAGCATCTTCGGCCAAACCAGTGGTGGAAAGCTGAGAATCCAAAGGGTAGTGGCCATGTTCTGTCATTATGACAATCCTATCACGTCAGATACTTTAAAAAGTTCCCTCGAAATTACTAACCACGACCTGGATGAATTGGCGCATGACTTATGCCATGACTTTATACTTTACCCCCAAAATCTAGACAAAGTACCAGAATTCCCAGAACTGCATAAGTCAACTTCGACAGGACTTGTCGACTAGGATTCAGGAGAAGGAGGAGGAAGTTGAAAGCATCAAGTAAGTTAGAATTTCCTCCACTAATCTTGTTTACGAACGCCTTGAATAAGTTCTTTGTCTGTGAATGAATAGACTAATGATTTTAAAGCGTTCACCTCAATGAAAGCAGCGATCGACCAAGCTAAATCTTTCCACTTTTTTTGCGTAAGGTCTTCTAATTGCCAAGTTAGTCAATTGAGGAGTAAAGTGTACACGCCTTTGCGTGTTTAGGGTGTAGCAATTAACGAGGCTAGGTGAGAGACCATTCACAAAACCAGAGAGCAAGGAGGACAGTAAAACGATGGCACAGCCATTTACTTGCCCATGAAAACGTTCGTTTTGCGCAAAGTACCGTGTGAATGTCGGTACAGCTACAAAAGCAATGTATGATTAACAGTCCGAAGGGGCAAAATAACGTCAAATCTCCAAAGTCGGTAAATTGAAGCTGAGACCAGCCTGCTCATGACCAAATAGGAGTATTCTCGATGTTTCTTGAAAAATACCCCCCTCTGTACAACTTCCTGGTTGCTGAAAACGGTTCACGCAACCCCAGCTTCTGAGCCATAGCAAACCGACTTGATCGCATCGCTCATGGGATCCAGTTGCGTCACAAAATCTCTGCAAACCGATGGGGGGCACTTCGTCTCCCCCTGAGGACGATGGTGACTCCCTTCGAACAAGAACTGTCAAACAGAAATCGTTAGTTCAAGGTTGTTGTTAAACTGTCACCTCAAATGGGCTCTCGAACTACGGGAATACAAAACGTTC